TCCTGCATGGCACTCCTGGCTCCAAGGGATCCTTACCTGGCTGTCCTTTGCCAGCAGCTGGATGTAGTTCTCATAGATCTCCTGCACCTTCTCCAGCTGGCCGCTGCGCAGCTTCCTCTGGATGATGTACCTGTCGTAGACTTTGGAGCCCAGCTCCCTGGCCAGGACCGCCAGGGACTCACCTTGTGGAGACAGATCATTGAGGACCTGGGAAAGGACAAGGCAAAAAGGGTCTTAGGAAGGAGGAACAGGGAGACGTAGCAGAGACAGAGCGGGAGTTAAAGCTGCTGTGCAGGGAGCACAGAAAGATGCTGATTTCCATGATACAGAACAGATGGTGAGGAAGGAAAAACAACCAGGACAGAGCATGGATTTCTCTGTGCAGAGAGCCTGCAGCTAAAGATCTGGTAAACCTCTCAGGAAATTCCAATTTGGCTCAAGTGGGACATTAGTGCTCTGTGACAGCCCCATGGCTGACAGTCCAGCCCCACTCCTGGTAGGGTAGGACAGGCACCTACCTGCATCATGATGTCCACATACTCCTCATCTGGCAGCAGACACAGGTAGGGGTAGAGGATGTTGTACTTGGACAGCCTCTTGGGCCTGGCCATGCTGCGCTTGGAATTCTGCAGGGCCTGGAGGATGGCGTCGTGCCACTGGGAGCGGAGGGTGCCCAGCAGCTCACGCTGCATGGAAAAGGAAGGAAGAGAGCTGGTCAGTGAGAGCTGCCCCTCTTTGGCTTGTGCAGCCTCAGCTCTCACCCACAGGCCCCAAGGGCTGCCCCAGAGCCCCGACTTTACCGCTTTGATAGCCTGTGGGGTCAGGGGCTTGGCTGCCTCCACTGACTCGATGGTCACGGTGTTCTTCAGCTCCATCTCCAGCTGCTGCTGGAAGAGCTCCTGCAACTCCTTCACGGAGAAATCCAGCTTGGGGTACGACACCATCGTCTCCTGCAATGGGACAGAGGCAGTCAGTGCCAAAAGTGGGAGGAGGAGAAGCCATGCTCATTCTCCCAGCTTCCCTGCAAGATGAACAATAATGGTACAACTGTGGGCTGAAAGCACCTCACTGGGACCTCTGGATCCAGAGGCTGCTCTGCTCCTGTGCTGTGGCCAAGCACCTCCCCAGGCACCCCCTACCATGCATAGAGGCCATCTCCAGCCCCCTGCAAGCCCTCTGCTTTGCTGTTCTCCTGTAAGGGAACAGCCTGTACAGCTGTAAGGCTGTAAGTAATGTCATTCATCTGATGATTTGTGTGGGCTATCGGGCAGAGATCAGGTTATAAGGTTTTTTCTTGCTAGCCCTCCCCTGTGAACACCATGTGGCCAGCTTCAACACCTCCCCGAGGGCTGTGGCTTACTCTGGAATAGAAGTCCTGGAGCAGAGAAGACTTGCAGATCTTGGGGCTGGGTGGAGGAGGCAGCTGGTAGTTGGGCTGGACAGTCCTGATGGCCCACAGCACCATCTCCTTCCCATCTTCCTCAAACAGGCACTTTTGGAAGAGCTCATCCACATGGAAGCCACTGCTGTTTAGCTTCTGCAGGTATCTGAGGAGGAGCAGACAGGACAGGCTCGATCTTCCCCAAGGGCCTGAGGGTGTTGTACAGAAGCTGCCGGGGCAGGAGCTGCCTCAGCACAGCCCTTCCCACAAGGTCACCACCCGCCTCAGGTTACAGGGATCGGGTGTCCATCCCTCACCACTGCAGAGCTGCCTGGGCAGGGAGGCCGAGCTGCCCACGGGCAGCCCCACAGCCTGTGCTGCACTGACACAGCTCCACAGCATCCAGCAGTCAGAGTCAGCTGACTGGAGACATTCCCCTGAAGGCATCTAGAACGTGTCAGCAGCCAAAGGACAGAGAGACCAGTGATACATCCCTGAGGTTCAGCACTAGTGCATCAGAAGCTTTCTGCATCCTCTGGAGAGGAGCTGGCTGTACCTCCAGCCCCAGGCACTGCCCCTAGGCCCAGCCTGTGGGATCTTCCAGGGCTCTTTCAGCTGCTCGCTTTAGCACTGACACTTCCCTGTCCATTAGGAAATCTGCTGAATCTCCTGTCCAAGCTCCTCTGGAGAGCCCTGCAAGAGCCAGCTGTGTGACTGAGTCTACCAAAATGGGCAAACTCCACACAAGTGCCATAAAACCAAACAGAGGAGCCAAGCCAGGCAGCAACTGAGGGGCCAGAAGGAGCGAGATGTCTGGGATGGGTGTGGAACCAAGGAGTCCCTGACTGGAGAGGGTCTCTCCCAGCCCAGCTCTGGGGAGAACAGTGCTTGTTTTCACCTTCCACATCTCCTCTCCCTGCACAATTTCAGACAAACTCCCCAGCAGCTGGGGTGGCAGAGAGGGTGCTCTGCCCACACTGAAATCTGGCCATGAGAAGTGGCTCAGAGCATCCAGGTGGGCACGCAGAAAGGGCAGCTCTTCCTGACCCCAACCCACTGCAGCTCTCCAAGCACAGCATGTGGAGCTGCTGCCCCTAAGGCTCAGCAGCACCTGAGGCAGCTGTTACCTCAGGATGGCTTTGGGAGGTGACTTGTTCCGGCCCATGCACTCCAGGGCCACCGCGTAGGATTCCAGGTTGGGCCGGAGGCTGGAAGCCTCCAGGATGGAAAACAATCGGTCCAGGCGGTTAAAAGAGCCCTGCAGGTGAGAAAGGAAGGAGGCTGTGCTCACTGAGAAGGGAAGGAGGCTGTGGACACTGACACCAGCAGCCTCAGAATCACAGCTCCACGTCCCTCTACTCCTGGATCAGATTTAGTCACACCTACCTTACCCTTTCCCCACTTTCTTCCTCCCCAGACCACCTCCCACAGATCTGTGGCCCCGTGCCAGCTCAGTCCCCCTTGCCAGAAGCGCTGCTTGAACACTTGCTGAAGTGACAAGCACAGGTAAAACCAGCTGGAGGCAGTTCCTCACGGGCCAGCCCCTCTCCCACCCGGAGCACTGCAGCTCGGTGTTACAGTGCGTTCGGACATGCCTTTTCCCCATTCCCCGGGACCCCTGTGACTCTGATCAGATAACCCTGGACCCCTCCTTCCTGCCCTGACAGGGTTGGTGGAGAGCCAAGGCAAAGCCTGGATAAACCCCTGACATTTTCTGTTCCTCTTTGCCCCGCTCTCCCCATGGACATCACAGAATAAAGAGAGCTGCACCATCATATATTGGGGTAAGAGCCTCTTTTGGAAATCTTTACGTATCTCCTGATATTCCTCCCCTCAAAGCCTCGGATCTCTGGGCTAGGTTGATAATTTAGGGGGGAATATCAGGTCGGTACCTTCCTGGCCCAGATGCGCATGACGATGTTGAAGGCGCCGGTGTCCAGCACCTTGCCCTTCACGGCAGAGCTGTGGCACAGCAGCAGGTACCGCTCGGCCTCTTCCGCCTGCTGCAGGAACAGGAAGCACTCCAGGTTGGACTGGATGGTCTGCTGCAGCACCTGCTCGTTACTCCTGTCCTTTGGCATCCTCTGAGGCCTCTTCAGCTCTGCAGCCTCCTTCATCTCCCTGGGTTTGCTGTGAGGGCTGCCAGAGCTCTGGCTCCAGGCAGTGGCTGCTTTCGTCTTTGGGATCTTTGGGCTCTTCATGGTTTTTGCTGGGGGTCTGGTCTCTGCCTTGACCTCTACCTTGGCCTGGCCCTCCAGAGCCAGGGAGGCAGCACTGGGCAATTCCTGCTTCATCTTCAGCTGCTGGCTGTACATCTCCTTCTGCAGCTTTTTGGCCCAGGTGTTGGACTGGGCCAGGCCATCACCCCGTGCCGTGGGAACAGGCTGCTTCTCCTTGGGGCCAGGGGCCACAGCCTCCTGGTACTTGTCATTGTCCAGTGCAGCCAGTTCCACTTTGCTGACCGTCACCTCTGGGACGTTACTGCCTTGCAGCTGCTTTGCTCGAGCTTTCAGCACTAGTGGGAAAGAGAGAGGTGATGGGAGATGAGGCACAGCAAAAGGCTCTGTCCTGTCCTCACTCTGGAAGTACCAAGATCATGTTGAGAAAAAAGGGTTCACACAAGAACTTCATCCCTCTTTGGCCAGCCCTGCTCCAAAACAGAGATACCAACCTCTGTCTCTCTGAGCTCTACCTGCAAGCTGGAGCCCACCCCAGCATCCCAGGAACCCAGAGGTGTCACTGCCAGGGAAAAAGCAATAGCCCAGGCTGGTCTGACTGCTGTCTCACCTTCCAGCAGCTCTGTCCTCTCACAGGTGCCACTTCTGCTTGCCTTCTCCTTGGTGCTGGCAGAGGAGTAGGTCCTGAAGATTCTCCATGGAATCCCTGCTGAGGAAGAACACAGAGGTGTGGGGGTCAGGGGAAGTCCACACCTTCACACATTCCCTAGCTCTTGCTCTGCCACGGCCCCAGCTGGACACAGCGTGGACAGAGTGAGCACGGGATGTTTCTCAGCAGCAGCACAGGAGGGCAGGAGGGACAGGGAACCAGAGGCTCAGAAGGAACATGACCCAGGGACACCACAAACCCAGCGCTGTCAGTGGGGTGGCAGCACCCCAAGACCCCCAGAGCAGGCGGGGTCTATCCCACAGCTGGGACAGACCCAGAGCCCCCGAACCAGCCCTTTGCAGAGCAACAGCACCCCAGCACTCCCACAGCCCCGGCTCCACCCCTGGGCTGCCCACGACGCAAAAAGACCCTTCCACCTTCCAGGCGATCCCACAGAGCGCTCAGCACCGTGGGACGTCCCGGCCCAGCTCCGCCCGCACACTCGGGCCTTGTGCCGGTCTCCTCGTGTCCCCGCGGGCCCCTCATGCCCCCCGGTGCCCCCGCGTGCCCCCGGTGCCCGCTCCCGCTCACCGGGGCCCCTCAGCCCGCCCGGGCCCCTCAGCACCGCCCGCAGCCTCAGCAGCGCCATCCCCGGGCCACGCGCGCCGCCGCGCATGCGCCATCGCGCCGCGCCGCCGCGGGGCGCGCCGGGAGCGCGAGTCCCGCCGCTGCGGACTACAGCTCCCATGGGGCAGCGCGGCCGCGCCCCGCGCCCCCTGGCGGCCGCGGCGGCCCCGACGGGCGGGTCGGGGCGAGCGCGATCCCGGGACCGGATCCCGGGCGGCGGCGGAGCCCGGGGAACACGGCGGATCCCGGGGAACACGGCGGAGCCCGGCTGCCCCGCGGCTCTCCGGACCGAGCTGGCCGTGTCTCGGCTCTGCCCACAGCGGACACCACCGTCCCCGCATCCCGAGCCACAGCAGCCCCGCGCCTCCGCCTCTCCCCGCGCTCTGAGCCCGCGGCGCTCGTCCCCTGCCCGCCCATCGCAGCTGACGGCGGATACCGGAGTGTGCGCTCCCCAACCGGGCGCCCCGCGGTCTTAAGCGAGTGACCGCGGCCGGTGACCCGGGACAGCCGTCGGGGCGCCGATTTATGAATGGGAGGCACCGCCCCAGCCCCCGGCCCGCCCATTCGCCGCCGCCGCCCCGCCCCGGGCCGCCCATCCCCGGCCGCTCGCGCCGTCGGGGCCGGTCGCCGGTCGCCGCCGTGGCCATGGCGCATCGCCTGTTGCCCGCCTGTCGCCCACCGCCCGCCGCCATGAGGCGCGGGGGCCCCGCCGCCATCGCCGCCTGCCTCGCCGGGGCACTCGCCGTGCTGGCGGGGCCGGGACCGGGACCGGGACCGGGGCCGGGGCCGGGCAGTGCCACCGGGACCGGCCGGCGGCCCCCCCGCAGCTACGGGCATCTGGAGGGCGACGTGCGCTGGCGGCGGCTCTTCTCCGCCACCCGCTTTTTCCTGCGCATCGACGGCAGCGGCGGCGTGGAGGGGACGCGCTGGAGGGAGCGGCCGGGCAGTGAGTGGGGACGGACGGGACCGGGACGGGGACGGGAACGGGGGAGAGCCGGGATCTGGGGCCGCCCCCCGCCCACGACGGGCGAGGCGCGATCCCGCCGGCTGCCGGGGCTGCCGGGGCTGCGGCGGGCGCTGCTGGGGCTGGACCGGGGCGGAGGCTGCACGGAAGCGCCTCGGGTCGGCGGCGGGAGCATTCCGTGCCCGGCCCGGAGGGAGCCCGCAGCTCTTCCCTCCGGGGAAATCGCAGCCAAATCGCCCGGTCCTCCGGGGCCGCGGGAGCGGCGGGTCCCCGCTGTCCCCCGGCGCTCCGGGAGTGCAACCGGCGCCGGCTGCCCTCACCCCCGTCACTGCACTGTGGGAGCCACGAGAGGGGCGCGGACACCGGCCACCACTGCCCGGGGACCCGACGTTGCTTTCCCAGCGGCTGGGCTGTCCTAGGGGGTCTCTCGGGGGTCCCTTGTCCCATCTGGTCCTGCCAGTTCACGATGGCCCCTGCCTTGCCTTCCCCATGGACTGGAGGAAAGGATCGTTCCCCCACTAACACATTCGGGGGGAAAAGGCTGAGGAGGGGGGGATGTAGGAAGTTCTGCGGTGATGCTGGCACCAGAATGGGGCATCTGTCCAATCCCCGTCGGAGGGGACCATGGAGCAGCCGCTGCCTGCAGAGCAGGCTGGGACTCAAGACAGCTGGGTGGGCAGAGGGACAACATCCCCAAGGACGTGGCAGTCACTGTATGACTTCAGCAAGAGTCAGGGCTGCAAGTGCCCAGGTATCAGCCACGCATCGGGGTGCAGGGTCCCAGCCCCTGGGACAGGGATGGGGACACCAGGCTGGCAGGACAGTAGCTGGACAAGGAGGGGGATCTTGGGGTTCTTGGAAAAGGGGATGCCTGATCATCCCCCAGATGCCCTGACGGGGTGTTGGGGTTGGGGCAGGAGGGCTGCAGCAGCCCCGGCTCATGTCCTGGTGCAGCAGGGGCTGCCCCATCTCCCAGCAGCCACAGGACACGGAGCCAAGCCCAGCCCAGGGAACCCTCCTGTGGTGTCGGAGGCTGTCGGGAGTCCCGAGCGGGCACGCTGCCAGCACAAAGCACCCCAACACGTTCCCTCCATGGTGTGGCCACGGGAGCTGGCAGGCAGAGCAGCTCCGGGCTGTACATGAGGCTCGCTCTGCTTATCTGTGTGCGCCTGGGCTGGGCGCGGGCTCTGCTCCACAGCCCTCGCAGAAGCTGCCGGACCAGCCCCACTGGCAGCTCTAGGGTGGCGGGGGATCTTCAGGGACTCCCCCACCTCAAGCCCTGCCTCTGCCCCAGCCTCCTCGAGACCCCTCTGGGCTGAGTGTGAGACTGGGAGCACTGGGAGCTGCCTCTGACCAGGTACTGGCCAGGCACCTGCAAACAAAGGGCGGCAGAGCCGGCCCGAGCACTGGGAACAGAAGGGGGTTATTTTTAGGAAAGTGCAAGTCCTTATAAATAGCAGCAGCTTCAGACGGTGATCAAGTGGGACGGATTCACAGGCATTTGCTCAGCCCTTCCCCTCCACAGCCCTCGGCAGTGGCAGCACCGAAGGAGCTGGGCTGAAAATCCCGGGGGAGCCCTCACACTGCCCCAGGGCTGCATCCACCGTGTATCCACCGCAGGCAGGTGATGCCCGGGGAATGCCAACAACGCCGGGACACTGCTGAAAGCCCTGCCCAGGGGCTGCAGCCCCCATGCTGTCTGTGTGTCCTGTCCAGCCCGTGCAGTGGTGCCCAGCGGCAGATCCCGCTGTGCTCCAGCCCTTCCTGCTGCCCTGCCCACGTTGCTCTCCCTGGACATTACTTCTCCCCTTCCCACTGCCCGGGCGGGCAGCGGCACTCGGGGCTGGCCGGCGTGAGGCAGTGCAGGAATCCAGGAGGCCCCGATGATGCTCTGGGTGTTTCCCGTGCCAGAGCCGCTGGTCTGACCACATGCCTTTCCCATTAGCGGCCGAGCCGGAGCTCGGCGGTCGGGGCACACACACGCCAGCCCAGCTGTGGCTTCACAGCCCGGCTGCAGCCGCCCCCCCGGGCTCATCCTCGTGTTGCTCCTCCACCTGCCAGCCCACAGTGCTGTCCTCGCTTGTGCCACCAGGAAATCGGGCATCCACGGATGGCACCGACCTGGGCTACAGCTCCCGCAGAGCTCTGCCTGTGCGCCTTTGTCCACCAGAACACAATGTGTGCTGCTGCTGCCACCCCCACGCACACTTGGCCAGCCCCAGAGCCTGCGTGTGCCAGGCTGGGCGCTGAGGGAGGCGGGTCAGGTCCCCGGGGCACTCCGGGCGCGCTGGGGATGGATGAACTGAACGGGCAGAGCTGCCAGCGAGGGGAGGACACACACGAGGTTGTGCTTGGCATCGCTCCCGCACAGCCCCGCTTCTGGAAGTGGCTGGACCCTGGGGAGGAGAGGAGTAAAGATCAAACCTTCCCTGGATCAGAGGTTCCCCCTCCCACTGCCAGCTTGGGCTGCAGCCCTTGTTCCTCTGGCTGCTCTGGGTCTGGATGAGGATCAGCAGCTCCCTCCCTCTGGAGGGACACTGTGGCTACAGAGTCAGCACTGGGACAGGGCCCCTCAGGGAGGTTTCCCGTCCCGTCCCTCCCTGGCTCATGCCGTGCTTCCCTGTCCCGCAGGCATCGTGGAGATCCGGTCGGTGCGTGTCGGCGTCGTGGCCATCCGGGCGGTGCACACCGGCTTCTACCTGGCCATGAACGAGCGGGGGAGGCTCTACGGGTCGGTAGGTCGGATGGGGCTGCACCAGAGTCAGAGGCTCAGGGCAGAGCTGGAACAGGCTCCTGGTTTCCCGTGCCCTGACCTGCTCCCCAGCAGGGGACTGCACCCACCAAGCCCCTCTGCCCCAGGGGCACCAGAGAGGAGCCGGGGTCCTGCCCTGCCCCACTCTTGGGGTCCAAGGGGCTCCAGCTGAGCATAGCCACCCCTCACTCCCTTCCCTCTCCTGCCAGAAGGAGTTCAGCCCCAACTGCAAGTTCACGGAGCGCATCGAAGAGAACGGCTACAACACCTACGCGTCGCTGCACTGGCGGCACCGCGGCCGCCCCATGTTCCTCTCGCTCAATAGCAAGGGCAGGCCACAGCGAGGGGGCAGGACACGCCGGCAGCACCTCTCCACACACTTCCTCCCCATGCTCGTCAGCTGAACACCGTGGGCAGCTCCAGACGGTCCTGTAGGAAAAAAAAACCAAAGAAAAAAATGTTATTTTATTTATGTACATATCTATTTTTTGCTATTTATTGCTTTATTTTTAATGCACGGCAGAGGAGGGATATGGAAGGCGGATGCTCCAGACTCAGCCGTGCGGGGCTGTGCATCTACTGTTCCCAAATTTGCCCTAAACCAGGACACCCCGGCACGGAGCCAACGTGGTGGAGCCAGGGAGCATGACCGGAGCAGGGGCCAGGATCTGCTAATGGCATCTCTGCAGGGCTGGGATGTACCAGCAGGTTGTCTGTGTCTGAGCTTCCGTGGCAATTAAAGCTGTGTTCATGGTATGGAACAGGAGCAGGTCTTGGAGCTTTGATGATGAACTTGGCTTGGGATGGGAGGGATTGGCTGCCGTGTGGTTGTGGCTGCAGCCACCAGTGTCATCTCTGCTGCCACTGGCAGGGAGCTCAGCTGGTCCTTTGCCACATCCAGGTTTTCATTGACCCCCATCCACCCTGCAGGAATACAGCCATGGTGGTCCACTGGCACAAAGGAGGGAGCAGGAGCAGCAGGAGCCAGCCCAGATCCTCAGGCAGACACAGCTCCGGGGCTGCCCCTGGCCACAGCCAGTGCCAGTCAGTCCTGCAGCCCAGCAAAAACACAGCTGGGACAGTGGTGAGGGCAGCAGGGCCAGGAATAGCACCTGCACCTCAGCCTCCCGGCCAGGGTACATCCCTGCACCACCTCACGCCCGCTGCGGCCAGGCCCAGCATCCCGGTCACTGTCACGTCAGACACAGCAATGGCCCCAGCAAAAACCACCAAACTCGTTCCATTTCTGACCCAACCAGCTCCAAATGAGTCTGAGAGGGAACAGCCACTGTATTAACCATGTGGTGACTGTGGTGAGCCCCTGCCAGGTGGGCAGCAGCTGCCACGCACCCACCCGGGACTTTGCTCGGCCCACTGAGCCATCTGAGCGCTGCTCACACATGAGAAATCATTCCCAAGCGCCTGGGGGAGTCAGAACCCAATCACAGCTGAAAGAGTGGGAGAGGGAAGGTGTTTCCAGGTCTCTTGTTTGGTGACTAAACAGCAAAGCCTCTCCTCGGTGTCGGGTCAGCCAATGGACACGTGCAGGTTCAGCCAGGACCTTCTTGCTGCCACCCACCTCACCAGCCCAGGCTGCTGGCTCAACCCCTGGCAGAGGATGAGCCATTAACCCCGACACACCAGTCCCGAGATAAACCCTCCTGGGAGATGAAAGGCGCCGCCACACTGCCCGGCCAAGCTGAGGAAGAAAAACAGTCCGGGCAAGTCGCTCCCTGCCAGCCCCTGGCCCTGGCACAGCTGGTGACACTTCAACAAACCAACTTCACGCGCTCTGAAATGGCCCAAGAAGGACCAAAGCATCCTTCCCCCTTCTAAAAGAGGTTCATATCTTTTCAGGAAGCTCACAGAAGAGCCAGGTCCTGGGGTGATGCTGCTTTAGAAAAGACATCCAAGCTCTGCTGGAGCCAGCACCATCCCCAGCAACACCAGCCCACTCCCAGGGCCCCAAAAGCCAAGGGAGAGGCAGGAACCCCCCAAACTGTCAAACCCTCCACCCACCTCCCTGGCAGCTCCCACGGGGGCAGGTTCTCCCTCGGCTGCTCTGGCCTCTGCCACAGAGCAGTCCCAACATGTGGTACCATCAAGGACCCCCAGCCCTCTAGGAAACCACCTCAAGTCCCTGTGAGGGGAAGGGGGTCCCAGTGAGGATGGTGAGAGTTTCTCCTCTCCTGCCTCAGGGCCCAGGAAGCAGGGACATGGCAGGGAGTCACTGCCTGCTCTGATGACATTCTTGTCATTCTCCGAGCTCCAGCTCTGTCACAGAAACTGAGTCACAAACATACCTGGATATTTTTCTCTCTCCTTGTTTTAATCAGCTCTATTTTAAGTAGCTTTGCAATACATTTTTTTTTATCTCCAAAATGTTGTTTTCCTGGTAATTACTCGGTCACAATGAGATTTGCTGGTCCTCGTTCTGCTGCACACCCAGTTCTGTGTCGGCCCAGCAGAACAGCCTGCCCCGGCTGCGAGGGGGGCAGGACTGCAGGGGGAAGAAGGTGTAAAAAATAGAAAACACCAGGCGAGGATGCTTCCAGCTGCGACCCTTGGCTACCTGTGCAGTGATCCACAGGCTGGCAGTGGCTCCCACCGAACTCCTAGCACGCAGGAGGGCTCAGAGAGGCCCAGCCTGTCCGGGGAAGGCAGGACAGCTTGGTGGCCTCAGAGCTTACCCTGTAGCTTTCTTCAAATCATGCATAATGGCTCGCAGAGCTGAAATGTCCATTTATTGACAACAGTAATAATTTAAGATTATAAAAACCCCTTTCAGTGTTGAGTATCAGCGGGCGAGGTTATAAAGAGAAATAAAAGGGACTCGAGATGGGACAGGGAAGGATCCCGGGGTCTACTTGAGAGTTCCTGTTTCAGTGACAGCTATTGGTCCTCCCCAGATGGTGATCCTGGGGGGAGGCAGCATCCTTATACTTCCATTTTAGACGTCAATCTCCAAAGCAGAAAAGATAGTATCCAAGGGGAGGAGGAGCAAAAGAAATAAAAGAAAGGGATCTCAAATTCAAACCCATACAAACAACATTTCCATTCGGGATTCAACCACTCGCTCAGCACCTCGGGGTTCCCAGCCGGGGAGCGCAGCAGCCTCGCACTGCAATGGGTAAAGTCCACGCAAAGAGGATGTTTTTATTGACAGACAGAGCTCTTTCCCCCCTTTTTCATCACAGAACTTGAGGCTTCTCATCTCTGAAGGACCCAGAGTCTCCGTGTCTTCAGAAATCAAAAGGAAATTCTGGGGGCACTGCTCCTGCCTCGTCCCCTCCCCTCGCTCTGCTCTGGAAGCCCCTTTGGCTGCTCGTGGTGGCCAGGGAGAGAGGGGGAACAGTGGAAGGGCCCCGGGGACAAGAGGGTGCGTTAAGATTCATGAGTTGTTCGATGAGTTTTCATTACTTGGTGAGCTTGAGGAAGAGGAGGAGGAGGAGGATGACGAGAAGTTCATCCCTGTGAGTCCTGGGGGGTTTGTGGCAGTGTTTTGTCCACTTAAACTTTTCCGGCAGACGGGACACGTGTCATGCTTTGGGGAGCAGACAAAAAACAAAACAAGAAATACGGGAAACGGGATTAGAAACACAACAGGGGAGCAGCACTGGAGGAATGGGCTGGGATGACACTCCATCCTCTGACCACAGGCTGCTTGTGCTCAGGCCTCATCATGGAGGTAGGAAAATATTTACAGAGGGGAGCAGGACCAGACAAAGCCCCCAGTGCTGCACGCCACAGGCAGTGCCCCGCACTCACCTGCTCCAGCCACGGGACGATGCAGCCGTCGTGGAACAGGTGATTGCACGGTAACTGCCGCACGTTCTCCCCGACTGTGTAGTCTTCCTTACACACAGGGCACTCCAACCCGGAATCTGCATGGCATAGGGAAAGCCAAGCAAAGCCAGCTGAGCAAAGGAGGAGAGAATGACCCACAAAGCCCCCGACTCGGGGCTCATCATCCCTCTCCCCTTCCCCACCACTGCCTCCATCCCTGTCAGGAGGAAAGCTTGGTGCTCTGCAGCCCCCACACCATCACTCTACCTCCCCCTACCCAGGGTATGCCTCATCCTTCCCTTCTGCTTTTCCATCTCTATCCACACTGAACTTCTCACAATCTCCCCAGGGCAAATCCATACAGCCTACACTGCTCTTTTTTTGTGTGAGTATAACAGAGCCCCTTCAGCTCTCTGCCCACTTTGAAATGTTTTATGCCTCAAAGGTACAAACAGACAAAATTCAAGTCCCAAGAAAACATTACAGACAGTTCCAGTGAGCACCCTGTGCACAATTCCATGGAGCAGACACCTACCTACGTGCTCCTGTGTGATCTGTATGGTGGGGAGGGCCTGGATCTTCTCTTTGTCTGCTGGCGGCGGTCCAGTGTTTTCAAACTGATTCAGTAACTGGAAAAACAACCAGCCAGGCAGGCAGAAGAGAGAGGTGAGCTCAGCAGCACACAGAATCCACTCGTTTCCTGAGCCAGGGCACCAGGATCCCACACTGTGGACCTCTTCCCATTTCAGTTCCCCAGCCCCTCATTCCCTGCAGCAGCACAGGTGCTGCCCCTCCTGCAGCACTGCACAGGTGCTGCCCCTCCTGCAGCACTGCACAGGAGGATGGAGACTGTGGTGAATCCCAGTTTTACCTGTGTGATAATCGCATCCAGTCCGTTGGCACCCCAGGCGTAGTCCATCGGATTTGAGTGCAGGACTCCCCTGAAGAGCAAGGACAGCAAGTGAGTTCATCCTGGAGCACCAACGAGACACTGTCAGAGAGAGCAGCACATCCTCCAACTCACCAAGGGCCCAAGCCTAGGTTTGGAATTGTGGTTGGTGCAATAATTCCATTGACCAGCTGCTGGATAATTCTGAAAGACAAGAAAACCAGGACTGTGTAAGAATTAAAGTTTGCTGGCTCCCAGCCCAGCACTCCAGCATGGAGAGAAAGATTGAATAAGCTGAATACTACACATTGTTGGGGGCAATTAAAAATACCCTACAGCAATTGCAATGGCAGCTATGGGAGTGATCAGCCCCTGATAAAGTTTCAGTATTTGATTCATAAGGGGACAATTCCTGACACGATGGTGAATGGCTCCCAGGATGCACTTACACAAACACTGTTGTTCTCTTCTGCTTCCCCTCACAGCAAGTACAACATTTTTGCAACACCTGGCAATGACCAGGGAATATTTTCCCACTACAGAACAAACTCCCAAGCACAGTCCACGTCACCACTCGGCTGAAACAATCCCAACAGACCCCAAGAAGGAGCTGCCAACAGGCTCAGGTGGGACACCGATGACAGAGCTTTGGGATGCTGCTCCCATAATCCAGGAGAAAAGGTGAGAAACAACAGCGTTCCCTCCTCAGGGGCCAGAGTGTTCTCACCCTTCCAGCGTGGGGACGCCCTCGTGCCTGCCCGAGGCTCGGCGCGCGGCCAGGCGGGCGCGGGGCTGCCGGGCGCCGTAGCGGTGCCGGGACTGGTGCTCGCGCTCCCGCCGGTTCTCTGAGTCCCGGTTGTCTTCCGGCTGCGCGTTGGACCCAAAGGGAAACTCAAAGCTGTCGTCAAAGAACCCGAAAGCAAACTGGCCGTAGCCCGGGGGCAAGGTGAACAAGTGCTGATCCACGTTCTGGAGGGAGGGAGGGAATGCAGAGAACAGACTGTGACAAGAGGAGGAACAGCTCGCGGCTCCCACGGTGTCCCAGCAGCTGCTGCCCACAGCCAGGCCTGGGGTGACGCTGGGACC